GCCGCCTGCCGGCCCCCGCCGCTCGCCAGAACGGAGCCGGGCGGCAAGCCCGCGACCCGGAAGAGGCGGTGGTCGGCCCCGGAGAGCCGCAAGGTGGAGAAATCGGAAGAAGAGCCTCCGTTGACTCTGCCCAAACCCTCTTTTATCCCTCAGGAGGTTAAAATCTGCATCGAAGGCAGGTCAAATATAGGCAAGTGAAGGCTCGCGGGGGACGTTTTTATAAATGGGGGAAAGCAAAAGAATACCCTTCTTCACAGTCGTCTTCTTTCGTATTTTGTTTTCCATTTTCTTTCGTTTTTGTTCTATCCAGAATACTGTACTGTAGGCTAAATAACCCAGTATTTACACGTTATCATCTTAGGTTCATGTTATAACCTTTGTAATAGTTGCATTTGGTATTACACAGGCAATTGGCGCAGGTGTTTGTTCCACAAATCTCTGGAGAGTACGTGTGGGGGACAGATATGTGGGCGCTTGTACACCACTTGACTTCACAGGGAACGGACAGGCTGGTCTGTGGCTTTCCACCCATGTTTTACTTTTAAAGAACCCCCCACCACCACCACCACCACCACCACCACCATCAGCAACACAGGCCCAGAGAGATTCAGGAAGGGCAAAGCACGACACCGAGAGTCCAGCCGAAAGTAGCAAGCTGAGGAACGTCAAAACGGGAGACAGCCAAGCTGCTTCATGTCCGCCGTCTTTGTCTCGAGGCGTAGTCTCTTGAAGCGCAGGGTCATTCACCCCTTCACATTTAGATAAACCCTTTCGTACTTGACAGAGCCTTCTCTGGGCAGTAATGTGGGCTTTTACTTGAGATGTTTGTGCTGTAAATTCAGAATGTAGAATATCGGCACTTTCCCATCTTGGGTTTAAATGCACGGGGGTGGCGAGACGGAATCACTCCCCTACATCTCGTTTCTGTGGCGACAAGACCGCTGGTAGGGGTTGACATGATGTCAGCCAGCCCTGGCACTTGATCTCTCTGTTTTAATATATATATTATATATTTTTTTGTCTTTCGTTTTTAGAGATAACAGTCGTTATTTTTGGTTGTTGCAGCACATTATTATGGACTTTGAGATGATACAGAAAACAGAATCGTCCGCGTGTTCGGGCTCCATCCATTTCGTGTTTGTTTTCACGCCAGGCGAAGTAGATCAGGTGATCTGAAGTGTTCTCAGATCCGTGACTGATACGCACGTTGCAGTCTATGGTGGGTAAACTGCTTTCTCGTATGCTGTGAATTTGGTTTTCTAAGGCATGCAGTAACCACAAAACATTGGGGAGTGCCAGCTCCCGTGATTAAAGACCCCAAAAAGTGGACCATAATGGGGAATGGGAAGAATCCCAACCACAAGGTCTGTACCAGATCACAGTACCGGACTCATTTTGATAAACCAATTGTAACTACATTACCATTAGTGACGGGGATGGGTTTTGAATGAATTGAACTCTGGTTGGCTCTTTATACCACTCCCAGCAGCCCCCAAAGATTGTCTGAAAGTTGCTTTAAAGGGAAATAGAGCTGATTAGTATTTCTGAGGATGTCTGCACACTTTAAGCTGTTTACATTTACTTTTAATTTGTGCCCTTCTGCCTCATTCTAAATTAAGATGCTGTTTCTCTCCCAGAAACAGTACCACTAAAAGCACACTTACAAGATGTACATTATGTGAATATGTTTTAGAAATTATATACATTATAAGGTTGGTATTTAAGCGTGAAGTCAACAGTTTGTAGAACTGTCTGCTCTCATTTAAGTTATCATGCAAATGTTCTGATTGGAAATGCATCCTGCTAAAAATATTAAGCCCTTTATGTAGCAGCTTAGCAGCAAATAACAGCATCGCTGATTGTTGTTTCTCTTGACTCTGTCAGCATTTGCTGTTTTTATTTCCGAGTCCATCTTGCACTGGATCACATGGCTTCGAAAAACTCATTGCATGAATGTCTGGAAATTTCAAAGACACGCAGACGGTGTAGTATCTGAGAGATGGAGACCAATACAGAGATGCGAGTAGAGAGATCATGAAACATCTACAGGTTACTATCTTGTCCCCTTTATACGTGATTGAATGTTGAAACCCATATTATAATCAAAATATGTGCCCAAAGAGTAGGCCTCTTCTATTCCTCTTATTGAGATCATGCACCATTTTGTCCAGTGATTTTTCCAGGCTTGTGTGGAAAGGGCCTTTATGCCCAATAATGATTTAGGAGCATAGCAGGAGATTCTGTCTTGCTCTGGACAGTGTACCTGGAACAAAACTTGATTTCCCAGGGGTGAAATGTATTATTACAGGGTACTCAAGATCGATAACCAAAATTCTGGTGAGAGGAAGTGAGCATGAAGGAGCTGTTTGTGCAGCTGTTGCATGTACTGTTGAAGCATTAAGCATCAGCAGTCAAGGGCTTTGTCCCTCAGGGGTAAATGTTTTCCTCTCTGCATGTACGTGAACTGTATCAAACACACCTGGACTGGTCTTCACCCAGCTCACTAACTGCCTGACCTGCTCCTCAGGGCACTACAATGGAAACAGCCGATTCATAAAGCAGAAATCAAAACGTGTCTCAAGGCCTTTGGAGAAACTAAACAACAAAACTGCCTCGTCATTTCCTCAGTTGACTTGCCTTGTGTTGTATCTGACTAGACTAGGTGTTGTGGCATTAGACAATCAGACCAGTCGGGTATTACTACAACAAGCAGTGCCGTATATCTTTCAGAGAAAGAAAAAAGTCGCTTTTACTATCAGGTTTGAATAGACTAGAGTCAGCTTTACATGTTTACTTTCAGTAGTTTTTTAGATCTGTAATGTTTTTTTTTCCTTTTTAAACCTCTTGTTAAGATTTTGGCACATTTTGCATGATAGATGGTTCATGTTGTAGTGACTATTCACACCCTGGGGGTCAGGAAACTTGCAGAGGCAGTCAATTTGATTGTAGGCTTATGTCGGTCTCCTGACATTCTGAACATGATCAGAGGAATAGGGGAGAAGAAAACTAAACTCAATCCAAATTTTGAGTAACCGGTGCCAGTGTAGCCTCTTTGTCGCATTTAATGGGAGAAGTAATTAAATGGTGTGAGAAAAGATTGGAAATGAGGGGACAGGTGATTGCCTTCAAGCTTTTAAAGTGTCTGTCACACCTAAAAACTGAGAATCGTTTGAAGTAAAGTGTGATTTTTACGGTCTCAACATTCAATAAGTACTGTACAGGGTGTGAGCGAAAGGAAGACTAGACGAAATAGTCTTCTATAGTCTTCATTAGCATTGTTTCCGGCAGCAACATCGTAAGACAGGTTGCATCTGGGGTGAATGGGATGAATGTGAATACTGAAGTAATATGTGACAGCGAGGAAAGAAAAGGTCCCAGGGAGGACTGATTTAGTAGAGGCACTTTTGTTTTGGAATTTTTGATGCTCCGCTTCCAAGAGCACAAAAGCCTAAGAAAGATTTAAAAAAAGGGTAAACCACTTCAACCTTGTGTGGCTGTTCGATGAAGCTGCCTCCGACATGTAGTAAGGTCTTGTTACAGGCCAACGAGATGGCTCTCTTGAGAGAAAATTCTCCTGATTCAAAATTGTACCGAGCGGCTGTATACTGAAAAAGAGGAAAAGTGATACTTTCCTTTTATATAAGGGAAGCAGATCTGCAGCTATAGTGAAAATGCATTCACTATATCCATTTCTACTTAATGGCCACAAAAGTTTGAAGGGTACCTTTTGTCTTTATTACACTTATGTTTGTTTGTATGTATATATACATATATATTGTGTAGGTGTATATCATGTGTGTATATATATATACACACACACGTATATTTTCTTTTACATGCACACAGACATATTCCACATAACATTGAAATTGCCCTGCTGTGTAACTGAACTGGCGTGGCAGTGGACTGATTTCAATGTTTTGTAGTGTATATAGCGATATGAATTGTCCAGTGTTTTCTTGTTTAAAGTTATACTTTAAAGAATATTGCGATTTGCACATCAGGAGAGTTAGTAACTTTTGTGTTGTTTTTTTTTTTTTCCGCTGTAAATGTGGGGAAATTGATGTAGCAGTTACTTAACAGATCTGCCTAACCTCTGGACCCATACTGATGGGTCTACTCTCCTACCTTTTTTGTTGTTTTTTTTTCCTCCAGCAGCCACTTTCACGAATTTCTAGCCTCATCGTGTACAATTTGTGTGGAACAGAGACTAGTGGGTCACAGAAGAGCCATCAGTCATACTGAGTGCAAGCGTCTCCTAAGCTTTCTGTTTGGCTGTGAGGTAGCATACTTCCTCAGGTGTTAGTCTTCTTAAGGCAGGAGTGTGCCAGGCAGGGACATTTGGGGTACGGAAAGCTTGGGAAAAAAAAATGTACCCATGCAGATTTAAAATGTTTTTATTTTCTTGTAATAAAACCAGGGTCTCTTGGATTAAACACAAGGCTAGACTTTTTTAGTTCTTTGGTAGCAGGGGAAGGGAATGATCTTCAGCCGAACTTTAGTTGTTTTTTAATGCTTACAAAGAGGGGCAACATGCATTTGTGGAAGGCCGTCGATGTTTAACTTAAACCGCAAGCCAGATGGGGTTTAAACAAAAGAATGCTGAAGGTGAAACGCTTATGCTTGGATGCTGTGGAGGCAAAAGTCTGGCATCCTCCAAAAGCGTGTGCTTGCATTTACAGTACACGTCATCCAGAGATGTCTGTCATCTGCATTGTTTCTATACAAGTCCCTAAGATGGCCTTACAGCAGGAGATAAGACTGGGAGGCTAAAAGAGAGGTGATTTCAGAACATGCTGTCCTCTGCACCACTGATATTTTGGAATAACCAAACAGATGACAAGAAAAGAATCCAGCTGTATGTTCTAGTAGTTAGAAGGGGACAGTCCGAATACAAACTGAACAGAAAAACTTCTACAACTGAATACAAGCCTGTTCTTTTGTACAGTTCTGGATTGTTTTTAAAATTAAAGTAATTGTCCCGAAAACATGTTTTAAAGACGAGAACAGAGACTTTTTTTTTGTTTTTAGGTGCATTATCCAGCGTAGGTGGTGTGACTGAAGCCTGCAGTCTGCCACGACACTATGCAAAAGTCTCCGTTTTACAACGCCAGAGGGTTTTTTTTTTTGCCCAGTGTCCCGTCGTGGACAGAGTCATTCTCCATGAATGGTGGTGCACCAAGTCTTGCCCATTTTCTGTTCATTTAATTTCCATTAAATTTCTGCAGTAACATGTGGTGTTACTGCCAATGCCAATGTTAAGGTTTTCAATCTTAAGTGTTGGCCTTTAGCTATGTTGGCGTCAAGAGCACCCCTTGACCAAACCCAATATCTGTTTTTCACACAGCTGCGCTGATCCGAGCACAAGCCTCCTCTTGCTTACGGTATGTAGGGTGCTGGTTTGAATCTGACTTCTCTCTGCCAGCCAGATGTAGCACAGACAAGCCCAGTGTAACACCCCAAAATACCGTACCGTCTTTTTTTTCCCGGCTTCAAATCTGTTCTTGCAAAGAAACAACATTTGGGGTTTTAACCTTCCCAGAAATAAACAGGAGTATCTGCTAGCATTCTTACACTCAGATGAGAAAATGTTGTGGTCGAGTTCCTAGTGGTGAGGCCCAGTTGTGTGCCAAGTCCAATTCCACCAGGTTGGTTCAGTAAAATAGAAAAGTATTTGGATCTTAGCTTGGTCATACTCACTCAGTACTTCCATATTCTCTACTCAGGGCACGCACATTCTCAGCGCTTTGTTTTTGAACCGAGTTGGAAAAAGAGAGGCACACTTCAGTCTGGCTCAAACTTGCAACAAATATACAGTATACAGGTTCCAGCAATGACCTTTGCTGAGGTGGCAGGGAGACGTACTGTAGGTACATAGTGCAAATACAGGAATTAAAAACTGACTGGAATGACTTTGACACTATATACAGAAGAATGAGAGTGATGATAAGACACAGTGTGATTTAGTTTTTTTATAATTAAGTGTTTCATTAAAAAGGTATCCTGGGTAGTAAGACTGTTTCTTTCTAGACGTCAGTTCGCCCTTTTTTATTTTGGCTACCTTTCGCTGTTTTCCTTTCATCGTGCCAACTTGTAATAATTAGCGTCGCGCTGATACCCTCTTGAGTTTTTCCCCTTTTCTTTTAATAATTGTTTTCCTTTTCCCCTCATTGTGTTTTTACATTTATTCTTCTTCCTCCCAGTCCGCTTTTGCCTCAAACTGGAGAATATGCAGATAGTGAACTTTACCAGACTAGCAATGTGCCTCTGTACAATGTCTAGCTTGCAATATGTCAATATTATCTCTCACTATATATGACTCTCAGATTAGCTGAACACGGGCTTTTTTTTCCTTCTGTCGACAGTTTCCAGGCAGTTTGTTTCTAAGTCAAATAGTCGGGATGCAATCTTCTGAGGGAAGTCTGTATAGTATGTTTTATTAAAAAAAAAGACTGTTCGTGTCATCGTTTGGAGTTGTACATCCTGGAGTTTTACTTAGAAAGTGTTTTTTTTTTTTGTTTTGCGTTCTTGTGCAGGCCACACCATAGGCAGTGAGCGAATGATGTCACCTGCTGAGCTTTTTATGTAGCGTTGATGGTTCTTTTCTACCATGTAGTCAGTGGTAAAACAGGAAAGACCCAAAGTGTCATAAGAAATAGGGGGGTCTCTTTTCCCTGACAGGCTGTAGTTACCTCCTCATTCCTTGTTCCTCGTACAGATATGAACTGCAGCACTCAGCCCTTCTGACTTATAAGGTCCCTGTATTTTTTAAATATATATATTTTGCAGTGTATCAATCACCCCTACCCCCCTGCTTTAGCAAACAAGACAGGTGCCCTTGCAGGTGACATCATCCGCTGCACCCTATCAGCGGCCAGAAAAAAAAAATAAAAAAAACTTTCAGAGCTCTTACTCAGGTATTGGGGGGGGGGGGTTGGCGCGCGCATGCGCACACCCTCGCGTGTGTGAGTGTGTGTGTGCGCGCGCTTGTGCGTATGCGTGCGTGTGTGCGTGCGTGCAGGGGCGCGTGTGGTACACTGATGTAACCAGAAGCAGCACTTTTATTGCCCGCGAGCAGAGGTGCTCCTCACCCCTCTCGAAGCCCGTCAAAAAAAACAAAACAAAACACAACACAACAAAACCACCCGCACAGAGATGTGGGTCGCCTGACCTCTGGACCCTTCTCCAGAAGTTCAGTTTTCCTCCTGAGCAGCAGCAGACCTCAACAGCGCCTGTGACACGTTGTCAGGGCGCAGGGCCTTCCTGAACGAGAGCTGACACCTCTCGGACTCTGACTGGCATTTTGGGTGCCGTCGCGAGTCCCGTTGTTGTGAATCGCAATGACTACTCGTCCGGGTGGTGTTGTTCGCTAATACCATGATGGTAGCGCTGACGGAAAAAAACAAAACAAAAAAAAAACCTCATAAAGTGGGGACCACTTAAAACAAAAATGCACATTTAATCCTTTTTTTAGGGTAGAATTAATAATACTGTTGATGCACTTTTTGAAGCCAGGAAAGGTCAGGCTTGCCTGTCTGTCAGGGGAGGCCTGGTGCTTTCAAAGCTCTTACATTCATTTCAGAGAGAGAAAGGGGAGACTGACGGAAGTGTGGTCTGCGTTTTGCTTTTAAAGCAGTCAAGGCACAGCAGTGTTTTCCTCACCTTTCCTTCCTTTTAGCTCATTACTGGGTCTAGTGAGTGAGAAAATGAGGTCAGGGTTTGACGAGGTTGAATGGTTGGCTGGATGGATCGTCACATAATTCAAAGTGGAATTGGACACCTTTACTCTCGGGCTTATTTTTCTTTGTTTTTGTCATAGACCTCGCTTCAAAATGTGTTACCTTACTGATAGGATCTTTTTATTATTATTTTCTTTGTAGCACTATAACCTTTTAGTCGGGACATATACAGTAGATCTTTTTTTTTTTTTTAATTGTTTTAACTAACTTGAGTGGCCGAAGAGCTGTATGTAAGCACTCTCATTGAGGAGTACAGGTGATATTTTTATTTGTTTTTCTTTCAATTGCACAAATGAAAATTTGAATGTTGGTGCGCGAGTTTCAGTATTTGGAGAATTAAAAAAAAAAGGCATGTTTTTTTTTGTTTGGATTTTGCAATGAATCTGGCACCTTGTTTGAAAGGAGACAACCTGAATACAAATCAAAGGATTACTCAGTTGAACATGTAACTGTTGTTGACCTCATGTCAATATTAAAGGCTTTTGCCAGAATTCACTCTCAGGCTGAGAAAATTATATATGCCCACCCAGCACTTCAGTTTAATTTTGATTTTTTTTTTGTGGGATTTTTAATTTGGGTTTGATTTTTTTGTTGTTATTATAATTGTTCTGGTTATTTGAACTTTAACAAAAAGGTGCACCACTGTCAGAAAGAAAATTGGCCACTCCAATGCAGCGAAACGTATTGGAGCTCATCTGTACCACTTTTAAAATGCTGTATGATGAGCTTGTTCTATGAACCCATTTTTAATTTTTTTTCCCATTATTATATGTGGACGCTCCTATTTAAACTGAACCCAAATTGAAGGTTCCAAACAAATTAGCAAACATTTTGCTTCATGTGTTTTTGGTTGTCTTTTGAGTCATGTGAAACCATTCCTTTCAAAGAGTTTGTTTCAACCAATGCCACCACAAAGCAGAGACTGCATTTAATCCCTGTTCATGAATTTATTTGTTGGTTCCACTTCGTATTGCTTTTCAAACTTAACAGCGTCATTCGGGAGCTGTTATTCAAAAATAATAAAAGTCTGTAAAACAGGCTGCTCAGTAGAAAAAGTCCATGAACCTCACAAACAATCCACAGCAATCTATCAGCAATAGATAAATGAAATTCTTGAAATTGTATATCTACAACCTGTATAGGAGGTTCTTTTCAGTTAAATGTATTTATTAATAGATTCCTATTTGATATTTTTATAAACACATTTCTTTAGAAAACTTGACATATCTGTAAGAAATGGACAAAAATCCTCTGTTCTCCTCCACAGTTTCACAATTTGACGGTTTCGTGTGGTGTTTCTGACCTAATGCTTTTCAGTCTTAAATACTGCCCCCCTCAGTGAAGAACTCAGTTCACTAGTGACTAATTCTGGTTGCTTGTGTTACAAAAAGAAATGTGCAATCCGATTAACCCTATATTACTAGTGGTTTTCAAGAACAGACTGGTGTCCCAGTTTTCTGTTTTGACCTCGAGACCTCAAAGCAGCAACAGTGAGTGAATGAAAGTTAGAAGAAGGGAGCTGCACAGTATTTCCTTTAGATTAAGCATCAATGTACCCTGATCTCGCAGGGTAAAGAGTTTTACAGGGGATGTGATTTACTGTAGAAGTGCACACATTTCCAGGCAATTCTAATTCCCAGTTTTCTTTTTTTTTCTGTGTGTTTATTTTCCGAGTACCTTCAGACATGAGGTAGAGAGACATGAGGTATCGTTAAACAGGAAGCCGTGACAATTTCACAGGATGCAGGCGATCATTTAGAGGAGCCTTTTAAAGAAACAGCTACTGCCGTAGCCCCAAGGCCTAATCATTACAGATGAGCAGATGAAGATGCTTTCATGATGAGAATATGTCTTCCACCAAGAGTGAAGTGGGGGCTGTGTTACAGATCTCTTTTTGCTGGCGAATGGGCAGAGGTGATATACAGTAGTATAAACAGATCTGGCCAGTAGCATGTGGAGGGAGTGTCATTGGAGGAATTAAACATGTTTTGCACCTTAGTGGTAAGAGGAGAAATAGTACAGACATAGTTAAGAGCTTTTATTGTGAAAGGAGAATATTTTTTGTTTCCATATGCGTGCATACTCTCTGTAATTTCAGTGTAAAATATTGTACTTGCACTAGCTTTTTTAAAAACAAATATAAAAAAATGGAAGAATTGAAATTCTATTTTCTAATCGTGGTGTGTCTATTTGTAGGATACACTCAAGTCTGTTTATTGGATTTTATGGTCCCTTTCTTTGATGGTGCTTGCAGGTTTTCTAGTTAGAAATTATTTCATTATTATGAATAATAAAACAATATTTGATTCAGGATTTGAACAAATTTGTTTTAAAAAAGAAAAAAAAAAGAAATTGTCTGTATACCAGTACAAGTTTATTGTTTCAGTATACTCGTACTAATAAAATAACAGTGCCAATTGCAAAGCTGTGCCTTTTTGACTTGCATCTGCCTTAAGAGCTGAGTAAAAGATTTGGATGAAAGTACATTCCATGGTTTCAATTTGCTGTATTATGCGTGTTTTCAGTTTTTTCCCCCATTTCATTCAGAATGCTACACAACCTCTGCTTCCTCTTCATTGAGGTGATGATCAAGCGGATTCATGGTTTTCAGTTTCGAAGTGTCAACTTGTAATGTTGTTTTGCAACCAAATGCTAACTTACTATCCAATTATATTAAATAAAACCCTTACACAGGAGAAAATGAAGTTTTTTTCAATTTCCTGATTTGCTGTTAGGCTTTCTGTTTATTGACCAGAAGCTGAGATGTCAAATTAACAACAAAACACACTGGTTTAGTTTTTAATGTATGGCAAAAACATACAGTTGTAATGATCAAGTTAGTATTTCAAATTCAAATCAGGAAAAAATAACATTACAGCCTAAAGGAGGTTGTACCAGGTGTTCTTCAGTCCTGTTTTGCATATATTCTTAAATAAAAGTCTGCAAGTATGGGCCTCATTCTTCGCTAGGTAGCACCGTTTGTATCCTCCAAACAATCCTGTATTGAGAGTGGACTTTTTCTGAAGGAATGACTTATGTAAGTTAATATATTTTAAAGGCGTTATTTGGTCCTTATGAATGGTGTTTGACAGCACTGAAGACCTGTTGGGAATTTTAGACATGTTCTCAGCTCAGGCCTGAACAGCTCACTCTGAAATGCAGGTTGAGTTCTGTAGTTAACGGCCAGGATGCAGCAGAGACATTTGATTGAGCCCCACCAGTTACAGGGTTGAAACTAGCTGGCCATGCCTCTCTTCACTATCAACAAAACAGAACAGAGCAGACTACAGCCTGTGATGACCCAGGCACCTGCAGGCTCACTGTGGCAGTGAGGGATGGGCCTTCACCCCCTCCCCCCCAATTAATCCTAAACTGTCTGTGCATTTCTGCGGAGGCAATTTTGTTTGGAAAGATTAATACCCACCCGGATGGATGAGCAGGTTGGAGGAACTTGTTTGCACTTCTTCAGTCTCCACCTGTGGTAACAGGAGTGTCATCGCCGTGAGCCAAGATGTAAAGACACACTTGTCAATTCTAAATTTGGTGAGTATGTCGCTAAAAAAAAAAGCATTACTAGAACTGTGGTGGTGTGGGAAAGTGCATTATGAGTTCCTGCATTGCACAAATTTGAGCCCCATTCATTTACTGGTGGAGTGTCACAGTACTTTCCAAAATCTTCTCAGATCTTAAATTATCTTCCAGTTGTACGATGTTGCGTGGTGTTGCTGTGCAGTGACCGGGTATCAAAACAGCAAGAGTTCAGCGATATCAAGCTCAGCTGAGCGTAAGGAATACAACTTGGTGGTAAACAAAAAGAAAAGAAAGAGTTTGTGTCGTTTGTCCTACCTCTGCCTTTGACATGCACCCTTTGCTCCATAAAACTGATGATTATGCCTAGTGCTACAGTGAAGGAAACATTAAAAGTTTAGTGCAGGTCAACCATTATATTTACAAAAAAGTTATTACTGGGTTTAAACGTTTGAATCACAATTTGTTCTAAATGTATTTTTCCTTGCTATACTCAAATACCTATGATGCTTCCACAACACACCTATACACTGATCTACAGTATTATTCATTTTAAAGTGGCATTGCTGCTGTTTTTATACAGTAGTTCTACTTATGCATGCTAGACACCCATCAACCCTAAATAAAAAGACATGAAAACTAAATTACACTGGAATATTTGTTTATTGATTTGAACTTTTGCTACAAGGTCTTTACATTCAAGTTACGGTGTGTATTTATACAGTTTATAATACCCACCCCACACCACGCTCAGAAGAGATCAATAGCAGGAGGGTAGTATTTCATTCACCGCTCTCATGCTCCCAACCATAGAGCTGGGCCTCTGGTTAAATCTGTCTTTTTACAGCTCAAGGAAGCCCCTCTCCCCCACAGACATGCAGCCTTTCATTTTCCATGGGTTCTCTGGCCACCTTTATTTGTCGATTTCAAAATATGGGTTTTTATATCATGTAAAGTTTTCTCAGTCTGTCCTTGTACACTACAATAATGCACGGCGTGCTATCTTGTCTTACCGCCGCTTGTAATCAAGTCCGAACCTTTTCTTCAAAATTACTTCCACAGAAAGTGTGCTACTTTGTAGCACTTTATTCTATCTGGCTCAAATAAGAAATGGCCTTGATCATTCTGTAGTGTTCTTGTTGCCTACGAAGTCAGAGCCTGGCTCATCTGTTCTCTTAAGGTACAGTAAATCACCACCTTGATAATTATTCTCCTGTGAAAGAAACCGTTTCCCAGGCTATGTATGCAGGTTACCATGCTTTCTCCATGCTGAGGTAATAAATTTAATATCTTGCTGGGCCCCACCATGCCTTCTGCCAGATTTACTGTGCCTTTTCACAATATGTCACGTCATCCTTTGAATTAGCTTTGCCATGCGAGAAATGGTTTAAAGGGAGAGAAATGAGATGTACTGCCCTTCCGTACTATCACAAAGGACCTCAACTAAAACACTTTGCTTCGACGCCACTGAAGGAGGTTGTGGGGAGTGGGGGGGAACCTGAAGAATAACATATTTCCTTTCCGCACCATGACGGCTAGAAATAGGAAACAACCTCGCATTCGCACCCCCCACAGCTGAGGCCGAGTGTAAAGAGAGACCCCGGCTGGATCCAGCAATGAAGACCACACCGAAAATTCAACAGGTTAGCATGAGGGCAGCGCTTCCGGGGCCATTCTGTCAGCGCTCTGGGTGATCAAAGCTCTAAATCGGCTCTGAGAGACGGTTGCTGAGCTCTGGCAAGGCCAGGTAATGGTTGGGGATGCACAGCACACCGGCTCTCTGGATCCGTGTCCACCGCTAGGTGAACATGTTACTGGACTGCTGAGTGACCCTGATGAAGGTGGTCCGGCGGCTCAGCTCCTTCAGTTTGGCGGCCCCCACATAGGTGCAAGTGGAACGCAGCCCCCCCAGAACATCGAGGATGGTGTTCTCCACATCGCCCCTGTAGGGAACCTCCACGGTCCGGCCTTCTGAAGCCCTGGAAGAACGAGAGAGAGAGCAGGAGCGAAGATTTCAGAAACAAAAAAAAAAGGGGGCAACCATCTTCATTGAAGGGGGGTGGGCGGGGGCAGTAACTCTTGGATGATTTTAATATTAATCGGCTATCGTCCAACACACACGAGAGGGCAGAAACGAGCGTAATGAGCTCTGCAGCGGGTTCGATGGGGGTCTCCGCTCGTGCATTTCCACGGTAGAGCTGAATTTGGAATCTACTCTTCAACAAGAATGTTCACCCAAAAAATAATACTTTATATTTTTATTAATGTATTTTAATTGATAAGCCTCTTTTCTATTTTTATGACGCATTCTAAGAGTCATAAAGGATCTACTGTGAAAATGATAAGACCTGGCGGCACTAGAAGAGGCAACTGCCAAAATTCCCATTCCTCTAGTTCTGAGGGACTCTTCACAGAAAGAGATGCATACTTATTTTTACTGGCAGCCAAAAGGGGAAGCCAATATGATCCCCAAAATAATTAAGTGACAAACTTAAATATGGGAGGTATACTCAATTATATGTATTATTACCGTGGTTCATCCTCGGAACTAGGAAGCTGGAGCCTGGCAGTGCAGAAAGAAATGTGAACAGATGGTTGAGGAAGGCGAGATTCCCCCCAGGCAGTTCTAATTAGTGTAATTGGCAGTCTGAGTTCTTAACGGAGTCCTCAAAGAAGTGTGGAGAACTGTTCTGTCCTTCCAGACAAGATGATGAGGTCAGGGAGGTCACGTTTAAAGCAAAGGCACAGAGTGTGTTGATACCAAATAAACAGCATGTGTTTGGCCTCCTCACACCACTTATAGTACAGCACCTTCACAGCAGAGAGTTAAACATGAGGCTTTCATCATAAAGAAGCACAGAGTATATATACAGTAGCTGACAGAGGCACCTGGGTACTGTATGTCCATTCAAGACGGCAAGGAAGAGAGAAATTGAAAGAAGAGTTTCGAAGAACAGTTTGTTTTTTCCCCCACATAAACACTGCAATAGAATTATAGACTGCAACAGGGAAAGCCCAATCTGCTGTTTCACATACTGTATCTGACCATTGCTCATAATCGGTGTTTTGGAATAAATGAATCTTCTGTGAAGTGAACTAGGAAACTAGGAAAAACCTTCAGAGCAGGATTTCTACTGGAACTACTGCTTTTCAGGGCCTGGATTCAACATTTTGGAATGTGAAGTGTAGTTGCTGGTGCAAAGAAATTTGGTTAGTGCAGTGCCTCGGAAAAATATTCACCTCCTAGCAATGATTTGCAATTTGATTAACTGCAAATGACATACACACGCGTTTTAAAAAAAAACCTTGAATTTTACAGGCCAAAGAAGTTAAGTCAAAAAACGAAAAAACAGAACAAAAAAAAAATAAAGCATGTCAATTGCATGCAGTAAGTATTTGTCCCCTTTGTGTTACCTAAATAAGTTCAGAAGCCCAAAATTGCTTTGAAAAGTCACTCAATTAGTTGAATGTTGAATGGCCTGTCCCTTACTCCTTCAGTCAGGCAGTGGTTTTCAAGCAAAGATTCAACCATTAAGGCCCAGGAGGTTTCAAGACATCTTGGGGCTAAAGTTGTTGAAAGGCACAGATGAGAAGAGCAAGAAACATTTTTGCAAGGCAATGTATATAAAGGCCACCATGAGGAACACATACTCATGGACAATGACCATTGCGTGCACACAAGAAGGCCCTTCCCATCACCAGTGTCCACAAGAATTAATTTATTCCCTAGGAACAGAGTACGCCCCCCCTGGTACCTACAAAGTTAGGTGGTTAGGTGGTTTCCCATGGTTCCATTTACATGTGTACCAAATTTCATTGCTCCATGCTGCAGCGTTCATTGTATAGGTGTTTGAATAGGCCAACGAACTAGGCCAGCTGACTTTGCACATGTCTTGTGTGGTAAATATGAAAGCAACTCACCTGTACTCAGCCACCCCCCCGACGTATTTCTTCATAGCCGTGTCGGAGCTCATCCCGTAGAAGAGCTTGACTTTCTTGCCGTTCTTCTCCGTGATCTCGCCCGCACACTGGTCGTGACCAGCCAGCATTCCCCCCAGCATCACGAAGTCGGCCCCTGCCCCTAGGGAGAGACACATGCAGCACAAACGGAACGAAACGCTGAAGCCGGGGAAAAAGGCCTAAGCTCACGCCCAAAGAACCCGAGCCGGTGGAGAGGCCACATCCCTGCGGCACTTCTCAAGCCAAGACATCGTTAATGTAGTCGGTATTATTGACTGAAATCGCTTACAGTCCAATTTAATTTTGAACTTCACAAAAATTAGTTTTTTGGGGATTTGTTCGGGAAGAAATCTGGCAACCATGAAGGGGAACTGCAATGCTGTTTTTACTTCTCAGGGTTGTAATGAATTGGCAATAATGAGCGCAGTTCAAACCACAATAAATCTACCTAGTACTTCTTAATGTGTACAACCTCCAATTTACCATATAACACAAAAGAGACAAGGTTTCAATGTATGCACACCCTTATTGTCTGGGATGCAGAACAAAATTTCCAGTGATGTGAAAGCAGCCTTATTACATTGTAAACAGGCTTTAGACCAAATGCGTTTTGCTACTATATTAATAATACATATTTTCATGACACTGTCACATACAGGTACAAGGCAACATGTTTTTAGGTACTTAAGGTATTGCAAAAAAAGAGCAACCTGCCAACCAACTAAAACACATTCTTAATGTCAGGAGACCATGTTTCTCATTTGCTAAGAGCGAATAGTGAGCAGGAAGGGCTGCTTCCACATCACAATTCTCGTATGAATTCTCGTTCTCGCCCCTGGCCAGTCCAGCAGTTTCTCATCTGCCGGCGACAACACAGCGACCACACAGTAGCTTCGCAAAGTTCACGATTTTACACTAAAATTTTGCCATACTGTCAGTTGATTTATTTTACTTAGATTGATTCACCAGCGTGAGGAATTGCGACCGCAGTTACCCTCTAACCTCTTCGGTACACGTCAGCAAGAACAGTCACGGACGTGTGCCATACTGAAGATTGGAGAACAGTTCAAGTAATATCAGAGGAGTAGCAGAGGGGATCAATCTCAGACAAGTCTCAAAAAGACAGTTTTGACATGTCAGAAGAAACCACAAGACAATGAGAAATTCTGCATACAAGAGGCGACTATTTCACCCATGTTGCTTGTTTGGTAGTTTAATAGCTAAATGAAACTAAAATCGTGTTAGTATAGTTATTTCTTAATTGGGTCAAGAGCCGGGCCACTTTGTGTAACCTTAATTAATTCCCCATTAGTTTCCAATTGTGTCACCAGTGAGTGTGAAATAGCTCACCATTCTATGTCCCTTTATATACTGTAGGTGTATAAATCGAACCGCCTTTGAATAGCCTTTTTCTAGAATGAACAGATTTACAGCAGAACTTTTCACCTGACCATAGATGATAAAATGAGTGGTATCTCACCAGTGCATTATAAACCATACACATAACTTCCCTGGATATGAATTACGCTTTTTTTTGCTATATTGTATACCCAAGCATTCCATTTTCCATTACTTACCTTATAAAATATCGTTCTCTTGATGAGGACGTGGAAGAATCTATATAACCACCCAAATATCTTTCATATGCATTTCCCTGAAGCAAGCTCCTCCTACTACTACTACAGTGGTTAACATCATACATATTCATGTTAAAATTAATCTGTCATGCATCAGCCCAAATCCATGACTTTATCATTCCTTTGCTACTATTATGTGTTTCTTCTTTTTGTTGTTAGTGTCCTGCCAAAACAGCAGGCAGCAACAGCACATCTCACTTGTGAAACAGTATGCTGACGTCTGACTTCATCAGCACTAAAGCCATGGGAATATATTCCTATGATATAGAAAGGTGTCTTAAAGGAGCTGGTTACTATAACAACGAAGATGGTTTCCTTCTGTTTATCACCCTTTCTACTAGTCTTGTGTCTGAATGAGTTACTCATGTGGATTAGCTGTTAGCAACCTTATACAGTAAGCAAGATGGTTAAATGACTGTCATGTTTTTAACCTTTCTTTCGTCCTTATGCTTATATTTTTGTGTGACTGCAGTTCACTTTGACAGCTTTAAAGTACTGCTGCCTACAGATATGCATACATGCTTTTGTGTATAGTAATGAACTCTTCTGATAATTGTTTATTTTTACTAAAGGTTAATTTACGTTTGCAACAGTATGCGAATGTGTTTTTTGTTGCTAAGACAGAGATGTTTTTTTTTTTTAATCGGGCTGCTTAACTAAATTAAGTTGTGTCTTCCTCTCTCTGGCTATAGCAGGAGGGGTAATGTGGGTGTTAGGGACAGGCTAGAACAATGGCAGAATCTGTGTATGGAATTGACAACTGAGACTCCCTTTGGAAAAGCAATTGTTTTCTCTTCCAGTACTAATTAAGGGTTGCTTAGGTATTAAACTGTCAGATGCATTCTGTGTTTGTAACGTTTAAATAATTCAGACATCTTTCACAAGCTAAACCCTGGTAAGAATGAGGTTATGCTCATAAGCTCCCAACACCGGCTTTGCATTGCTGTTGCCTTCAGTCCGCCGAAATTAAACATTCGTTAAAAAGCTGGATTTTACCTACTGTATGCCCCCTTTTGGCAATTTGAAACATCACAAGAATATCTTTCTTCCATCTGTATAACATTGAAACACTGAAAGCCCTTACACTTTCTGATACTGAAATATGTTTTTGTTTTGTTTTATCAAGAGTAGACTCTTTGTTTTATCAAGAGTAGACTCCTATCAGACCTCCTGTCAGAGGTGAAACTGTGGATTAACAGCTTTTGAATCAGATAACGCTTGCTTTATAACCTTTTATTAATTTATGTATTCTCAATAAACAGTACAGAAACCTTTTATTGAGGTTGCTTATTAGAGTAACTGTTGATCACTAGTCAATGAATTCTCAGATGTTATTTCAGGTTACCCAAGGGATTAATTGAATATTTAAGCTCATGCACTGGCTGACCTCGGCGGTACCTCTGTCAGCGCATGGCATTTTTCAGACCCTGGTTGCACGCTCTTCGATGGTTTCACTTTTAAATCGGGCAGGTGATAAACCTCACCCAGGTGAGCATGAATGGCCTGAAAAGCCAAGCAAAACTTACCAAAAGCTTTGGCAACATCACCTGGACAGCTGCAGCCTCCATCCTGAAAAGGAGGAGAATGCAAAATAACGTCAACACTGTGAAGTTTAGAGTGAACATGCTTAAGAATGGCTCATTTCTGCATGACTTGGACTCATCACTGATAGACCCTATGATATTAAGAGTCGTTCAGGTGATCAGCAGTATAGGTACTGTATTTTAAACTCCTTGATGCATCTAATGGTCAGTTTTATTTATACGGTACGTATATTTGAAATAAATCCTTTATGTATCCAGAAATTCTCAGTAGTTCATATTTTGATAACTTGGAGAGTTACACAGCGGGACATGTACTGGAGCAACATGAGAATGTACAGTAGTATTGTGCTGAAGGGTACAACAGATAGATTGATACTTTATTGATCCCGTGAGGGAAATTGCAGGTACAGACAGTAACTAAAAGTACAGACTAGCTTGGGATTAGGACCTTTCAGTCTGGAGTCAAGATGTGTTGTTGCAGCAAGATAATCTTCTTATATTGTGAAAGAATTAGAACCTGGATTGTGTCTAATCTTTCTTTTTTTACAAGCTTAACGCTGAATTTGGTACTACAGTCAGTTTTATAACAGATACTGGTGTCTGGAAAGGACCATACTGCCCCCTTGAGGACCATTAGTGCTATCACTTTTTCGCTGAGTGCTGTCTGATAGTTATGATCAAAACCCAGGTATCACAGATGCTAAACTTTGCATAACCACCAGAATATGCTAACATCCTGCAGAAAATCCTGTTGAGGGTTTCATACTCTAAAGACTACAGTATCTTCATTTTTTTCTAGTACTGGACAGTTGTAAATTTACAGCCCACTGTTCCAGGTTACACTATTGTAGTAGTGTTCAGTTCTTTTTGTACTTGCTACACTAGCTTCAGACTCACACTTGAGTACATACCTGAGCCTATGTGAAGTAAAATGCCTTCAAAAGGATTATTACTCAACAATGGGAACAAAGCAAAAACATTTCAAAAGTGATCCAGTAGATCATATCAGCTACCACCTTACAAGATACTGGAAGTGTTTGTGATTGTGATTTGCAGCATCGTCTTCCTACAAGCCTTCCAAAAATGTATAATTTCATCCCTTTCAACCCTGCTTCCATCTCTTCAGATCCTGTATGGTTATGTGCAGAGGTGTAACTGATGATTGTGTGAGCGACATCATACACTCACTGACCAGATTATTAGAATGTGGCTCGTATACCACAACGCCCCAGCTGAAAGACACCCCAGGCCTCAATGAGCAGCAAAAACATGGAATGCTGCAATGTACATCATACAATGTGCACGATTTAAGTCCATGCAGGCCCCAGGCGAGTATATTGATTTCTCTGGACAGATGAATGATCAAAATATCTTCTTGAATCTTTTTTCCAGACAGCTATTTCCTGTTATACACAGTAGATTTATTCAAGAAGAAATCTTTGTCATCGGTTTCTGTCAAACAAATAAATAATAAACACAGTCAAACACTTTTTCCACGAGACTTTAACATTTGTAGGCCTGAGGCAAAGAGTCGATCCTTTTGGATAATACAGCCCTGATCATGAGGATTCAAACGATATTGTGGTAGGACTGCCTTCCGTTATGAGCTTGTGAACAGGGTAGTAGTGTAGGGGATTGAAAAGCAATTTTCAACAGACAGTGAGGGGGCTGTGCTGATCAGGTAGCTGATGGAAATGATGATTAACACTATGTCTCATGGTACTCAAGCCTGCCTCTGAGAGCCTGTTTGACTGGGGGTTCCTAGTACTGGGCAATGAGCCTACACTGTACGTCTATTAAGCTTATGAGATGCCAAATATTGAAGATGCAGCTGTATACTAACACTAGCCAAAGTATGAATCATTCAAAATGGCGTTCTCTGAGGAACACCAGAGTGGCTCAAAGGCAGAGGCCTCTTACTGAAGTAAAGATTGGACATAAATCTAGGTACAGTATTGCTGGGACTGGCAAATTATTAGTTGGCTCTGACTATGATTCCCCAGATGGTACTAAATCATTTATTTTGTGCTACCAGGCCTCAGTGGTTTCAAAATCATTGTTTAGAAGAGTGTAGAAGAAACAGACGGAAACACTGTGCATTTCACAAACACGTTACCTTTACCACAGTACATTTCTCAAAATCTAACAGAAGCTTTTCGGCAGCACACTGATCAGGTTAGCAATTCACGATTCCAAATCCTCGTTTCCATTTTTTTAAATATCCTGACTGAGTATAAAATATGGAATTGAAGATAATCTAGGATGTGATAAGCAAAGAGTGATGCTTTTGAGCAACATGATCTTTAGTTAGACATTGCCCCCGTGAGTAACATTTGAACATATACTGAATTAATTTAAAAGCACAGAGAGCTTCAGTCTGAATTCATGCCGTTCCAAAACTCTGTTCAATTACTGATCTCATATACAGTACTATACTCTGAACAACAAGTGTGTGAATACTGTAGGTGTGCGTACCAACATGTACAGTATGTTTCTACATCCTGATGTTTGTGATTGATGAGGAATATGAATTTGAAGCTGAAGTCCGCACTCTTGTCTGAGCTCATGTACATTGGCAAAGAGACTTACAGAGATGATGTGTCCCTTCAGCCCATGAGCCGAGTCAGCACACTCTATGACAGCACTGAGCTGGGGATACCCCACGCCCGTCTTGATTCTGGTAGTGCAGACCGAACCTGGGCATAAAGATTCAAAGGGAGAGACTGATGTGATGTTTGGCAAAAACCTAAAAAGCACTTTAAAATTGAGTCATATTATCAAGGCACACAATTATGAGACCACAGGACAAGCCTGAAGCTTGTATTTATATGCTCTATTTGTCTCACATGAACTGACACTATAAAAGATATACTGTATGATCATACGGTATAAGAAAGGAAACAAGTGGGAGGATGAAATTCACCCATTTTTTTCATTTATGACATCTCGGAATTTTGGTGCATTTGCTTTTCTCTGGGAGCCTGTGTGTTACAATGTGTAAATAAAGGTTAAATAAATTTAGATTTATGGTGTCTTGATTTCAGGCTGTCAGGCCACAAAATGTGTTACTTTGGAAAGGGTGTGTAGACTTTCTATAGGTCACTGTATTACTGATCAGGAAACCTACTGATCAGGAAGTTGAAGGAAGGTCAAAAAGACATTTTCCACACCATACTGTAAATGTGTCTTGAACAGACAGGTTAACAGAACTGAATACCTTTTGTCTAGATTAGAGTGGGCTACAGGCACCTTCACTCATGTATTTCTAATCAAGAAAGGTCCTGTCAAAACACTGAGGATGATCAAATAAAGACAGGAGGAAACAGAAACTAAGATAATGTGCATTTTAGAAAAGAAACAGGATATGCTTTTTTAATGAGGGGGTTTGGATATCTGGAATAAACTGATCTCTTCATGTACTGTACCTGGTCCAATGCCCACTTTAATAATGTCAGCTCCAGAGAGAATGAGCTCCTCCACCATCTCTCCTGTCACTACATTGCCAGCCTGCCAGGAAGACAACAGGACTTGCTGTGTTAAGACTTTGAAGCATGTGTGTGGGCGTCATTTCAGCAAGCTGATGTTCCCAGATTTAAACATTATACAGTAAATACTTAGTTGAAAACAGACAAAATCACTTGTCAAATCTAAAAATGGCCCACTGAGATAACCTGTAGCATGCACAATGCAGTAAACAGCTTAACTGCCAAGTAACCTCTGAACTACGCAGAAAAATATGCAGCAGAAAAATATGGGTATGCAGAAAAATAGAAAACAGCTGGTTATGTACGTAGTTGACTCTATTCAGCTGTGCTTTTTGATTTAGCACTATTTACAGTCTGTGATAAAAATGCATTGTACTTTTTGTTTAGTCTTGGACAGGAATATACTGCCTTTAGTGTTTAGACTAGACACTTTTTCAAACAATATATTCAACTTGAAAAAAGGGTTAGTTAAGACTGAAGAATGGTTTTACAAATCCTAATACTGAAAATAACATTTACAGATAGGGGGAATTTGTGCAAGTCAACAGCTATCCTTCTATTTTTAATAACTATATTTTTAACTATGCCTAGAATGCTTATGTAATTCTTACATGTAATGAAGAGTTGCATTTTCAATCAGAATTCTATTATTTGCTAAACAAATGCTCATATTAAGTACAACAAGTGGATATTCAAAACAGTGAGCAAATAAAAGGCATCAAATCCACTGTGTTTCTGAATAAGTGGTACAAATATGTGCTTTGGAGCCATCTTCTCTATGCAGTGTTATAAACAGGTAAATGGGGCTTACCATGATGGTGTGATTAGGAAACTTGCTCCTGACAGTCTTCACAAATTCCACAAAATGCTCTGAATATCCATTAGCGACATCAAGACAGATATACTTTATGCCTGGGATGGCCTCCAAAATGCTGCACAGCTTCTCCAAATCTGCCTGGCCACTGCCTGAGCTGGCGGCCACATGCTGCAGGAGAGAGGCCAGAGCAGCTCAGTGTTTTCAAGCACATTTTCAGACCACAGAACACGGACCCTATCAGAAACAGGTCACAATCCTCTTTTCAGAGACCGTAATGCATCACAGTCGCAAGTTCCATTCTGAAAATCGAAGGGAATGATTTTTGAAGCTTCCTGCAAGTATGTTAACACATTGCAGTCATTTTCTTATTTAGTTCAGGTGGGTAGGTGCGTCAGCATGCGTAGGCTGCAAAGGAACAAGTAATAGGTTTATTCCATGCTGAAAAAAAGAAGAAAGAAAACACAACGTTTCGGCTGTGGAGCCTGAAGTTTCAGCCTCACACACCTGAAGAAGGTTCCACGGCTGAAACGTTGTGTTTTCTTTCTTCTTTTTTTCAGCATGGAATAAACCTATTACATTTTCTTATTTAGTTCAGGTGGGGAGCTGCGTCAGCATGCGTAGGCTGCAAAGGAACAGTATACCACACCCAAAGAAGGCTCCACAGCCAAAACGTTTCTTCTAATACCAATTGAAATGTCTACCACTCACTCATGGGCTTTTTAATTCTGCAGTATAGGAAGTGTTGTGGTCTCTTACCTCTAAGCAATCTGGAGATGTGGCTGCAAATTTCTTCCAGTCCTCCAAAGAGTAGTGTTTATGAATAGCAGTGAACAACATGTGCTGCAAGGCAGGCAAGAGTGGTTATACAGCACGCGATTGAAACATCTAGGAAGAGCTGCGATGGCTTGTTGTGGAATAGTTACAGTATCATTGCAAAGAGGGTAAAACTAACAGAGAATCACACCTACTGTACCCCAGCATGTTTACAACACACATTTTACTGTTCTTGTTCTGTGAAGACAAGTACAGCAGATGTCCTCCCACTGACTCAGAACTTCATCAAATTAGTTTTTTATTCCAGTTGGGGGCATTTTGCCTTTTTTTATTTTTTGAGTTTTTCTAGTGTGGGGTTTTGCGTGTGCTCTCTTCTTTTTTTTTCCTCTCTGTTTTTTCTTTTTGCGCTCTCCGAGCGGTTTTCTTTTCTCCTTTTCGCACGTGTGCGCTTCTCTTGTGAATTTGTTTTGTGGCCCCGCGCCCCCACACTCTCACAGTGTGTGGCTCACCCGGATGTTTAATTCAAGATCCTTACTTTACTCAAGACTTGTGCCATCTCAAAGGTTCCAGTGGTGTCCATGTTGGCAGCGATCACTGGGATTCCATTGTAGGTCTGCTTGGAGTTACGGAATGTGAAGGTTCTCTGTAGGTCCACCTGTGGAAGAGGGGCTGATTAATCTGTAGCTCTAACGACGAGGTTTACAATATGACCAACAGCTGAGCCATTGTTTGGGTTTGGGCAGCTTCAACTAAGAGGATTCTTGTTTCAACGAAGAGACAAAGAAGATCTATGACAGGGCTGCCTGTGAGGGGACTGCAATCACAGCCAACCTGCCACAAAAGGCCTTTATCATCTGTAAATAGACATTGGGTGATGGATTAAAAACACACACTCTCAAATGGACGAGTTGTGTTTGTGTGATACAGTATATTAAAGGCCTCACTGTATTAGTTGGTGGATGTTTGACAGAGGTTTAAGGAGGGGGCAGGTTGCTGAAGACCTGGTTGAAAGATAGCCTCACGCACTGTATTATTCACCTACTGTTATGTTGAGTTGTCATGTTTTCTGGAGCTACAGTATGTTAGTCAAGTCGGGGCACTGGATCATTTTAACTGATCTGGTATTGCAGGCATGCAACTCCATATTAAGGCTAAAGGGCTTTGCTTTCCTGTAAAAGAGTTTTATGTTAAACACCTACAGTAAAATGGGGGAACTACAATAATACAGTAAGTCTAATAATTCACTGAAACAAAACTCTATCCTTATTTTTTGTGCTACAGAATATACAGACATGCAAGACCTGAAATTGTGAGAGTCAATCGCATATTACCAGAACTTTATATTAAAAGCCAGAAGCAGTGTGGGAACAATCAACATTAATACTGTACCTGGACTTTGAAGTTGTCATACAGTAATGGTCTAGAATCTTGCCTGATATTATTTTAATGCAACATCAACATTTTGAAGAATCCCAGGGTATAAGGTTTAATCTCATGCACTGGCACAAACCATTTTCACTTAGAACTAGTCTATTTTTTAACTTAGTTCTGAGTTTTCTTTACTAAAAACATGATGTGCCTCCTAATCTACTGAATGAGCTAAGTTTGAAGTCAAGCTTCGTCATTTCTGTGCAGATTTCACAGGTCCCAAGCAAATCTCTTCTGAGGTTATCACCTACTGAGGCTAAAGAGAGTTCTTTTTCCTGGTCTCCAGCTACATTCTCTTCACACCAAGCCCACTGCTGTGTCTTCAGCCTGTAACGTCTTGAACAGAACCGTTGATTAGAAAATGTGGAAGGTAACTGGTGCACTTAAGAATGTTGTCACTGAAACAGTTCTCACTGTAACTTCAGTATCTCTTCATTTATATCTCACCACCTGTTTTCTTAACTTTTTTTTAAACTTGTATTCATCTACAGTATGGCCTTCTTTTCTGTTCCCATATTTACTAATAAATAATTAAAAATGTAATTGTTCTTTATTGCACTTCTCTGAGTTTTAGAGTCATCTTCCTGACTACTACTATTCCCAATGGCACTAAGTATTATCCGTTACACTGCCTCGTCTGCTACAGTTATACAGTTTAGCTACACCAAAACTGTAGACACACCCATGTGCACATGACATACAGTAACATCCTGCTTGCCAACAAATGTCAGATTGTTTGCATATATAAATACTATATTAATACATAGAGTAAGTGTATGTCGCTAAGTTGTTATACATTGTTTATAAAATGTGATTTGCAGCCCTTTGTGTTATCCCAAAGACATATAAATAATCTCCAGAGCATTTATATTTCTTCGTGTTTATTTTTTCAGGTCTCTTTACACTTTTCTTTGGGTTTTTAGCTTTCTGTTTTCAGCCAGAACATAAAAAGAACATTTGTTAGAAGATCCCCAGTAATTTTCTCCTTGGGCATTAGATTATGCTGAAAGCAACACAAAATGACAAATTCCTTTATGGGTGCTGTACAAGTATAATCCACTGTCGCAACAAAATGACATACTGTAAAGAAAGTTTTCCCTCTGAAAAATATAGTGTAATTTTATGTGGCAAGTATGCTGAGTATGTATCTAATTTTTCTGTTTTTTTTTTAAACAAACTCTGTAAACAATTCTGAAAAACAACACATTTCTTTTTTTAACAGTAAATCAAAGTGCTTTAACAATTGGATATGATCTGTATTTTGGCCAAGAACTCTATTTTGTAATTTCATTTTTTTTTTTTTGTAGTTTCATGTTGATAATCTCCAGCTATTACCGATATGCTCTACACAAAGCACGGCCTGTACTAAAACAATGCACATTGCCTATCCTTAATACTGGCAATCAGTTATGCCTTCAGGCAATTGCTGCCACTAATCCTACAGTTAAAAACTAAAGGAAGACCACAGGACAAAAATAAAGCCAGGTGCAGGTTAACAAGAGGCAGCAAAAACACAATGGTAATGGAGTTTCAGGGAAATCCTTTTAAAAGTAAGGACCCTGCTTGTCAATAACAAATTATAGCAGGGCACACGACACTTTCTTGTTCTGCTTCTCCTCACAAACCCACTGTTTTACTTTTCTTACAGTTGTCTTTTCCTTTGTATCTCCATCCATTTTTCAACTGCTTTATCCAAGAGACCCGGGCTTAAAAAGGCCAACCACAAAATGAAGTTGTCGGCCGAAACCTTATCCAGGCAAGCAACGGGTGTAAGGCAGGGTACACCCTGGGTGGGACGCCAGTCACAGGGAACACACCAACGATTGTGCCACCATGATGCCCCAGTTGTTTTCTGCTTAGTGGACTTCAGGATCGGAAGAGGAGGGCTACTGATATTTGTGGTCTCAAAGATCTCACGGCAGGTTTGGCCATTTTTAGTAATACTGGATATAGTGTGAAGAAAGGGGAGAGAACGGAGAGTTTCTATCACAGAAAAAAATAATGAGCAGGCGCTTGGGACCTTAAGGAGAAGCCTTTCTGTTGCACCATCAGCATTTTTAATTACACAGTGTTAACAGTAGCAGATACTGTTGATGGTTGTGACTAGGCTACCACTAGGACTGTTTTCATCACAGAAAGGCATACAGTACGTGTACATTAATGAATGATGGAAGCCAAACTTCCTAAATGCAATTCTAGGGGTTGGACAATTGTATGGACATCGTGTCCACATTATTTTCTTTTGTTATATTTTAAAGATCACCTTGTGAGTCTATTTTGTTCCAAACTGCTTTTCATTGTCTTTTCACAATGGAAAGCACCACGTGGAAGCATACTGTAACCATGGAGACATGAGGCAATTACTGCATTTGGAAATACAATCCTCAATAACTACGTACACAACCATGAACAAAATCCGTTTAATAATGGGGATAGCCCGTTGTATCACAAATGCAAGTAAACCACAAGCTGGTTTGCCAAAATGAGAAAACTATTGCAAGTATTATGGTCCAATAAATTCCAATGAGTTAACATTAAAAAAAAAACTTTTTTATCCTTAAATGTTTTATTTTTAAAAAAAGAGACTATCATATTTAAAAAAATATACATATTTTAAAAAATCTTAAATTAGCCTGCAAGTTTTCTAATATTATCAGAAAGGTAGTGAGCAACACTATGCTGTAAGTGTGAGCAACTGACACAGCAGGTATTCTGAATGAGACCTCAGTAATCAAACAGCCCAGATGCTGTCTTAGATCAGTGCGCATTCCAATACAAGTTCTTTAAAAGTGGCCACTAGCATCTAATGAGGCCAATGGTTCTAGAGTACTTGACAGCAGCCAATTTTTAAAAGAAATCATTCATGCTTTGTTAATCAACAGGCACAAAATTCAAGGCTATGTAGCAAAATGAGAAAAATACAGCAAGTGATTATGAGTGAATAGATCAGAAATTACATACTGCAAATGAAATACAGTAATCATCTTTGGTTTTGCCATTTTTGTTATCCAAAAATGAAAAAAAAAATTAAAGGAATAATATATTCTGTGTTTTATCTCCTCCGTATTTTCCTTTTTATACAGTACTGAACATTCCAGCTGTAAAACCCATTTAAATATATAAACACATTTGTACATTACTAATAGGAAAAATAGGAAAAAAGACCTTTTAAAATGAAAAGTTGAGCAACTGAATACCCTGGCTTTGTAAAGTCCTTATTGGTCTGTGACACAATAATAATGTTAAGATGTTGTCCTGGCATATCAACCCTTTTTGTGCACAAATGGGCTAAAACACTAGAGCGCCATAGATATCATCTCTGAATATAGATAATATAGATCATCAATTTCCCTTCGGTATCAATAAAGTCTTACCTACAGTATCTAATCTCCGAATATGCAGGTAACAGGCCCAGTACCTGAACAGTAACTTAAAGCTTTGCTTGATTATCAGCTAACCTGACACGAGAAACAGATCGGTACTTCTTCTCTGCTGCAGAGTGCAATGCTGGTGCTGACAGCTGAGTCCGGTGCACCAAATAACTTTACATTTCTATTTTTATCTGCTCGCTCTGTGTCCTGGTTTCATATTTCTTCACCTTGACTTGTCACTTGCTGTCTATACTTCAATTCTTTTTCCAATTATATGCCCCATGCTGGAACTGGAAGTTTGGAAAGTACTCTGTCTTGAAGAGGGAGTTCAGGACTCTCCTGAGGAAACACAGACCCCTCTGTGCCCTGACTGTCAGTACTAGGAAGGTCATTTGTATTGTACTGCACTGGAAGAAAGTACCACAGTTCTGATTTCTATTTCCAGGACACATGTGCCGTTTTAAGTTCGGTCTAATTTAGCATCTCCAACCTTATGTTTTTTTTTCAGGAAATATGTTCATCCAAACATGTCTGTTTCTCCGACCTGTCACAAAATCACACATCAGTTATGAAAAAGCAGCTACTGTACATGCTACATGTCTCTGAAAGTCAAAATAGGTACAATAAGAAAACAACACCCACCTCAGATCGGCTCTTCAAGCTACTCCTTTTAGGTCTTACAAGGACATCTTTAAAGTCCAGTTTCAGGTCAGCATCCACCCGGGGCATGGCGAGATTTCTGAAGGACAAAGCTAACCTCCTAATGCCTCCGGCTATAGTCACCCGTCCCGATCTACAACAACCAAAGCCGAACTGTCAGGCAGAGAGAGTATTTATAGAGCAGAGGAGGCCGTCTCTGTCCGAACTCCCATTGCTTTATTTGGCCAGGCCTGTTTTGAGAGAGCACTGTAAAAAGCAGCCCTGCTCTTCGCTCAGTAGCTACACACAGACTGCGGATGGCCCCAGCACTGCAGCGCGCGCACACACACACACACACACCTGCAGTGAGGCGGCCACTCCACACCACTGCTCCACACTCAGCAGTCCCCCTGGGAGCAGTACTGCAATCGATACCCTCCGCGCAGACGCTGCCGGCCTCTAAATATTGCAGAGCCAACCTTAAAGGGGGCGAGGTGGGGGGTGGGGAACCCCATCGAGTCTGTCTGCTGTTGTAACACGTCTGCAGGGGAGCTGTCGGTTTCTAAGCAAGCACCCCGAGACAAGCTGCCTTCAATCTTTAACTAATCGGCATGTTGTGTTCAATTTTGACAGTTGGCAGGATCTGTGGCGACAGCCCAGAGCAAAAACTAATTTTGAATTTCCTTAACGTGTATTGTCTTAGACCTTTTTTTTATTTGCAGGGAGAACGTTTTATTGTATATTGAAAAGTGAGAAATAAACATTTTTATTTCAGCAAAACCTTGTGTCATACTGTGTCTAGCCACAAAGATGACTGTTATTAAGCCACTTAAATATAGTCAAATAGGCAGGACCTCATTGGAAGCAATAGAGATGTAAGTATCATTTCTTTATTCACAATATTCCCAAAGTTCTGGAGGCTGGTTGGGAACTCTGGTTTTCATTACAGTCGAGCATAGCTCCCTCATTTAAGCCCTAACTGAACGAACAAGTTGTTGGTTTGGAATATTTTCAGGTATTGAAGTGTTTTGGATTTTATTTCACTTTTTATTTCAAAAGCAATACTTAACAGGCAACCTCCAACATGCTCAAGAGCTGAAAATGGCCCAAAGTAATCCTATCATTACGTCGATTAAGGGTTCAATTGTGTATCTGAGAGCTGGGCTCGAACAAAAAACAGACATTTTGTTGGCCTTCAGGATCAGGATTGAGAACTCGGGCTTTAATTTACAAGCAGTTAATCTTACAGGTCTTCATTCGCACTAAAATGAAACCACAGTATGTTATGGACTACCTTATCAAACGATGCCCATTTACAGCTCCCTTGTCAATAGATAATGTATATACAGGTATTTAACTATATGAAAGTACTCCTAACCCCTTTAAGGAGCACTGTGTTGCAGTAGCAGAAGTTACATCTTCCCAGATGTACAGTACTGTAAGGGGTAGAATTCTTTAAACCCAGTATACAGTAGAATGCAAGATAAGCATTAGGTACACCTACATTTACAAAAGGAAATTACCTCAGCTCAGGTATAAAACAAGGCTATGTTTAGTGGCAAAAGCTAAGAAAGTGCACTTACTTTACCTGTGAATAAATCGTTTGAGTTAAGAGAAATATTAAAAAGGGACGGACATCACTGAATGAGTAAGCCTGTTAATAAAAATGCCTAATTCGTCCACAAGGTGGTGGGAAACATAGTATGAATTTGTACAGTAAGATTATAATGAGCAAAAAACACAGAAAAATAAAGCTGTGACTTGATCATTTCCATTTTAAAAACACTCAGAAAATATGTTGAAAACAATAAAATCTGGTATGCAGATGCACAAATAAAGCCAGTTCTACTGTGTCACCGATACTGTAAGTTTAATTAGCAATGTCCATGCCCAGCTGACACTTCTGATCTGTCTACAGAGCTTTAAAGGTTTTGCATTAAACTGTACTGAGGTGAAACACATTTGGCTATCATGTGAGAATTTAAAAGACATCAATTTACATTGAATTGAAAATACATTCAATACATTTAAAATTGACAATATGTATTCTATACTTTGGAGTTGCTAAGCCTGCTACAGTAGCTTGCTTTATCACTATAAGCCTTGAGCCAAGTGGGGGGAATCTGTTGATAGTAGATCTGTGCCTGGAGTGCTGTACACTGTTGAGTCATCTGCCATTTTTCACCCTGCGAGCTTCAAAACACGTACAGGAGAGAGCAGGGATGAATAATGAATTACTGCCATGATTCTGATAACAATGTAAGCTCGCTGGTCTCTGGAAAGTATCTTTCGAGAATCACTACAAGACCAACAAGAGGGCGACTTCAGCCTCTAAAAAAACTTTGCTACTGTACTTGTTATACTGTAGCATTACATACTGTAGTACTGCAAAACTGCAATGCACGCTTCACAGGGATATGCGTGTTTAATTAAAATATCACAGACAGTAGTAACAGAGAGAGAGAGAGAGCGAAAACCAGACATAACAGATAATGTGGTGAAGGATTTATTTAGTAGGATACAGTTATAATCTAGATCAATTACAATTTGGTTTGTTGTTTCATATTTGTTTGAAATGAAAAATTAAATACAAAAATAGCTGCCATACACTGTTTAATTCCGCAAGTCGGTAATTGTTATATCCAACAATTGGTATGTGTTTCTTGAAAAAGCAGATAGCTACAATTACAAAGCAAGCATCTCTTTAAAGTATGGTATACCCATTTTATTATTGCATGTGATATGTCGCCGGAATATAATTGTTCTCTTAAGCTCGCAATGCAAATTTTATGACACATATACAGTAGATTGTGTACGCAAAAGCAGTCATATGCAGAACGACAACATAATGTGTTAAGTAATGTCTAGTTAGTACAGTAAATGCTTGTTGTCTTCATGCCCTAAAGATGCTCTGCTTTCAGGACAAACTGTATACCTACAGCATTAACACGCTCTAATTAATTATTTAAATTTTGCCCTGTCATTAACTCTTCTTGTTCCTGAATTTCTATATTATATACGTATTTATAGTACAAACAGATTCCTTAAGCAAGCCTACACAGGCAGGCTTTGACCATTTAATTTTAAAGGAAAAATGCACCGTACTGTACGTACCTGTTTCCAACCGGAATGGTCCCCACGAAGGAAAGAGAAACTTTCCTTTGAGAAATTCTCAATGAATTAATTTAAATGACTCGGGAATATTTGTGTGTGCGTGATGTAGGTGTTTATCTACGGAGCCCGGGAGGGGCCACCAGTAGGGGGTGGAAAAAACTTTATATCGATGCACAAATCGTGCGCACGAAATATTTAAATCGGTCCCTCGTTTTCTTTAATTCGTGCGCACGAAATCACGTTTTATCTTTCCTTCGTTTTCTTTGTGTCACGGTAGTCAACCGCCCGTAGAAAGTTGCTCAAACGCCAGTGTTATCCCCGGCTCCTACCAACAACGCTATCAAACAGTAGTTAACACGTTACTGTGTCTATTAGTACAATAAAGCCTAATTGACACTGCTGTAGATTAGGATAATGGACACAGATGAAATGATTAAGTTTTATTTTGGTTTCGGGATGAGATATTAGGGCATTGTACAGTAGCTACTGTACTCTTGAACTAGTAGTTAGGACTGCACCTCTCTTTCACTGCTACTAGTGCCACACCTGTCCTTGCGGGGGTCAGAGTTAGAAAAGACTAATATATTTCGAGAGCATGAATTAAAGAAAACGAGGGAACCATTTAGCTATTTCGTGCGCACGATTTGTAAATCGGTCAATCGATATAACTTTTTTTTCCCCCTACTGATGGCCCCTTCAGGCTCCGTACGGTATTTATCCTACTGTAACTCCACTATCATGCAAAACCTCTTGGTTGAAGGAAAAAAAATCGAAATAATAGAAAGTAGCAATTGGATGGCTGGATTTATATCCCCATAGCTCCCTCTTGTGTACTGGAAAAGAACTGGCCTACCCATCCACTAACCTTCACAGTGGTGCTAAAATTGACTAATACGAAAGTACAGGACTCCCTTTCATAATTGTAATCTGAAGAAGATATACAGTACCACACACACACACGGGGGGAGCTATGGAAGCCTGTATTATTTGTGTCCCTGTGGGTGTTTTGGACTGTTTTGGAAGATTGTTATGTTCTATATTTATTTAAGGAAACGGGCGGTGTGCCTTTAACGAGAAAATATCAGTTAACAAGTAGGAACATTTTTATATAAAAGGCAGGCTATCTGACCATCTGATCAGACCAATCCTGATGAACAGAAGCTCACGACCATACGTTGCGCTGCATAAGTACTGCGACAGTAAAGTGAAAATGACTATTTTTGCTGTATACTCAAGCAATTTGTACGTGAGAAGAAAAGATGAAAATGAAGCAAAAGTACAGAATGTCATCTTTTATTTCTGGTACTTACTGTATGTGCATATATTGTTTGATGTTTTAGAATATTACCATTTTTTGGATGGGGACTTAATACTGTATATTAACTTAGCTTTGTCCAAAAACTCAGCACTCGCTTCACCATCGTGGTCCAGTACAGCGTCTGTATGACTGCATCCAGCGCACCAATCCGCAGGCCAATCCCAAGATTTCCCCTGCCCTCGCTCATGAACAAGCCCCCGAGGTACAGTACTCACACTCCTGGGGCAGCTGTCCCTCCCCTCACCCTGGAGAGAGCCAGCCACACTTTCCTGGGACAGAACCAGCGCCACAGACTTGGAGGGGCTGAGCCCCACCCTGAATCTCAGAGGAAGCCAAGAGCACAGCATCATCCGCAAACAGCAGAACAGCCCTCAGTCCCCCAAACTGGATACACTCCACTCTTTGTCTCCGCCTTGAAATCTTGTCCAGAAGAACATGAATGGGAGAGGAGACAAGATGCACCCTGGATGGTGAAGATGCAGCCTTGATGATGAAGATGCACCCCTAGCTGAGTCCAACATACACCTGGAATGGCTTTGACATAAGGCCGAGAACGGGACACACAGCCCTAAACCTTCTCCAAGTCCACAAAACAAGTAAAGATGGGATTGGGAAACTTCCATGTCCCCTCAAATATCTGCACGAGGGTAAAGAGTTGGTCTACTGTACCACTGTTCTCTTATTGTACAAAATACTGTACAATTTATTTTATTAAGCAGTATGCAAAAACTCAGAGGTTTTGTTTGAGTCCTGTCCAATCAAAGGATCAAACCTTAAATCAAGGTCACCTTTTAAACCAGTGCTGGCAAAAATGATAAATAAAGTGTCCAATTGAGCAAATAATTATGCTGTTAGAAGTAATTCATTTGGAACAGAACCCAGAAAGGAAAGGGGTCCTAGGGAAATTGGATTTTTAACACCCACAGTGGGAAATAATCAGGAAAATTGGCTCTTGCTTTCACATTTGGATAATGTATC